GTGAACCGAAAAACTTTGAACCCAACCTGATTGAACATTTTCATAAAACCCAATGGGTCCGTAGCCATTAGCCAATAACTAACTCACAATTTGTTGAGACGATTGAACATTTTCATAATGCAACCATTATGATGATTTTAATTTTAACAAATGGGAATAAGTCATTGGTCCACAACAAAACAATTTGAGTCCTCAAAATTTCACGTGGAGCTGTCTGGAATCTACACGAAACATTTGATATAATTTGTGGACCGAACAAAAACAAATAGAAATATCAAATATAGATTTATGCAATGAATGTTGCAAAGACAAAAAAGGAAACAAAAGGCAAAGAGATACCGTTCATACTATAACATTCCTTCGCTGTCCAATTACGTTTGGTGTGACAATTCCCTCTTTCTCATGCAACCAAAATTTATTTTACAACTCACCCATATATGTTTCTCCAAAAATCAAACGAGACCCCATTACTCACTCTCTTATGTCTATTTCATGTAGAATTTTTGGAGTGTACTTAGCCTATAATGGTGATAATGATACGTTTTGTTGTTTGATTGTCTAATCCTACGCAAAAGGTAGTTATTAGAAATGTCGACCACAACGTGTACAAACGGCCTTAATTTGTTTCCAAGTTTAAGAAGTAGGCACAAGTCAAATTTAACTGCATAAACTAATCAAACGCGATCGTTTCAATTCGGATAACGTTTCTAGTTAAGTGCTTATCGATCGATAAGATCTTACGTTCTATTCATTTTTGTTTGTTTCTCGTTAAATCAAGACGAGATATGTAATCTTGACCACATATTATGAGAATTTGATGAACTCACGTGTGTGTGTCCTCTTATTTCATTCGATCGTGTAGGTTAGGAACTTGAGATTATATAGATTCAAATCACAAAATCCGATCACGATATCCTACGGTATCATTGGCCCGTGACACCTAACAAGTAGCAACATAACGTACTGATTAACTTCCATTATTCATAATCATAAACTATGTTACAATTTTTTATGAGAAAATGAAAGCATGCATATTTCTATTATTTTAATTAGTAAAAACAAACTAACAAGAGATGATGAGTCATCATCGTTTTTGTTGCGCCACATGTGTGATTACTTTCAAATGTGACAGCATTTTAGATAAGTCGTTCTCTGTGGCTGAATTATGGTTTTAAACGTAGTTGTTTTCGTTTCATGAATTAGTTTATTTACACATAATACTCAGTTGGACCATTTTATTTTCTATAACGTTAGGAGATATGTGTCTGATATATATGATCTATGTATTATAGTTCTTAATTATCTACAGAGGAGCTTATATATAACTTCTTACAATATATACATTTATCATAGGGTTCTTATCATTGCCACGTATAATAATACATGTATATAACATCATATCGCCTATTCATATAACATCATTTTGTTTTTTTTGTAGTTCGTGACAACAAGGTGTTATTACATATTTTTTTCGTAAAAGAAAATATTATTGTACTTGAGAATACAAGCTAGACGAAAGTGCCCAAAGGGAGAAAAAAATGATAGCTAGTGTTCAATGACTTAGTTAGTAATATTAGATCAATAATATTATAAATACGTTCATAATTAATTCGATCAATATCCATTTTCTTAAGATCACCGTGCATGCATCTAAACGGATCTCCTTACAAAAAAAAAATCGAATTTAAATTTTGTAAGCGTATCCGAACCAAACCAACACAAATTACATCAAATATTTCAAAACCGCTTATTATAGTTTGGATCTTAGTTGGTTTAATTTCTCCTACAAGGCTACGACCTCAAAAGATTCACCCGAAATTCAAAGCCCATCTATCTTAAGTTAAGACTGTCTACCCTCATAATTTGATGCAATTATCATTTGCTTCATGTCTATTTTGAAGCGGTAAAGCATAGCGACCAAAGTGATAATAGAATAAAGAATATTTCTAAATCGTTTGTTTAGTTAGTGGTAGATATTCAGTGAGCGTATATTGAGAAATTCCGGTTGTTATGTAACTGTATAGTCTTTATATTGAGATGATAATACATAATTCTTCTCAAGGGAGATTATTCCAAC